CAGAGTTCTGTGATTTACACGATTGAAGGGAAGGATTTTCAAGAATATTGGATCAGTCTGACTAACGACGTTAACTGCAACCTCAAAATACCACTTCATTGAATTGACATAAGAAATTTTTATTAACTTTAACGAAATATGGACAGAACGCAACCTAAAACTCATATTATTGCTTTTAACGTACACTGTTAATGGTAGTCGATTCTGAAACGCTAAATCGATCCGTTAGTTTACAACGAAGCATCCATCACTATGCTGTCCAATAGGTGTCACTTGTTTCGTCAGGTCATGAACATATATTCAATATCATCGGTCTCCAAGATTTGCTGAAACAATTCAGAGGGCTGCTTAGTTTGACAAAGTAATTCAACTAATGGAGGACAGTTTATCAAACAAATGTTTTTAGAGAAACCTCCATTGTAGCTTTCAGAACTATGAAAGTCAAACATAAGTAGTAACACTGTCGCAATTGTCAATGATGCACAGTAAAAGACAATAACAATACTACTCAAGCAGTAGATACAAATATTCCGTGGTGTTTGGCAATTGTTTAGCAATTGGTTCGGTTCAAACGGCAATAATCACAGCAGCGATATATAAAATACGTGCATGAGCAGCTGGCTTAACTTAACTCATTTACCTCATATCTTATTGTCTGTGTTATAACCAATTTTTCAGAAGTCAATCTATCCTAGACGAGTAGACGTTAGCTTAATAAATTAGTCAAAGGAACGGCTGATCAGGGGTTAGATATTGCGGAAGACAGATCAGTCTGTAATGGAAAAAAATGCGCTCATAAACGTTATGATGTTGACAGCATAGCACAAAATCAATCAATTATGTCGTTTATTTGTAGTCATGGGCTGTCAACCATAAGGTTCATCTGATTGAACAATAACGTACATACAGTCTTCAGGGTTGCAAACCCGCATATTCGTGTTTGTAGACAGCAGGTCAAGCAAAGCTTGTAACCGAGTTTCAGACCAGCAGCAATCTGACCATCAGGGAGAGTCAGAGAAGTAATTATATCACCAGTTGTGATGAAGTAATGTAATAAGACAGTATCTAAGATACCAAAAATCTTTTCGCATTTTTGATTCCGGACTAAGCGTTTGAACTACAACTAATACGACGAATCATTGTTCAGGGCATCAAATGAATGTTATAGGAACCGCAGCGAAACGCGTAGAGATTGAAGCTTTAACACTTGCTTTGTTTGGCACCCTGAATCACGAATCGCTCTACTCGCAACAGCAATTAAGCCGTGTCTGATTATGAATACTGTGTTTCTCTGGAGATTGAAATCTGTCAGATAATGAACAGATTCGATATGGTTTCATTTTTGTTAAGGACTAATTCTGACTATGCGAAATCAGTTAGTAAGAGTGTGAATTACTGTACTAACTCCGCGTTACCAGTTACAAGCTTGAACCAGAAAGGAAGAAAGTTGTTGACCATTATAAGGTTTCTCGAAAGCCTTAGCCATCCATTTCTCATAGCAATGACGCTATGGAATAATATGTTGCATCGGTAGTTGCCGACGTTTTCAGAGGTCAGGAGGCTGCAGAAGAGCTGAGACATTCTGAGAAAGTGATCAGAATCTGTTTCACACCTTCTGGCAGCTGGACGTGAGGGGGCGTAGGTGGCGCTGACCGATGCTGAAGATCGGCTAGAAGATGACTAAGATACCAATCAGCAATGGAAGTGGAAGAAATATTGATGCTGTTATAGAACGGAAGATAAAATTCCTAAGGAGCGAAACATCAGTGGGTACTGACAGTCCTAAACTAATACGTCTCCTCACTCAGACGGAAAGAAAATGAGCCAGTTGATTAGGCAGTAAGGTTTCGTCTGAACGAAGCGCTAGATTCTACAATTATCAACCTTTGCTGGCATAAGCTCTTCTATTCAGATATCGTTTCAAAGACTAACGTTGATGTTTTGAAGGAGCCTGCATCGCTGAGAGAACCATTTAATGGAAACCTGTCAATGAAAGTGTCATTTGGCTCAACTTAGAACAGGACAAAGCTATGACCTTGTAACTGGTCTATGCTACAAACTTAAAGGAGACATATGAGTCCTACCTGGGTAACATTTGCATGAAATGCCGTTTAGGGAATGTATCTTTTCATGTTTATGCTGACGTAGAAAAGTAGAAATGAGTAATTGGAATGAATGGTGTTAGCGATCTCCAACAATAGCGACATGAATTGTTCGAATTTTGCGCACTCAACGGATTGTCCATTATGAACACTTTCTTCGAGCATCGAAGTGTGCTTGGGAAAATCACTAAATGCCAGATCCCATTGAGGAAGACTAATGTGGAAATCGAGTTGACGCCCGTTAATGGCAGTATGATCAGGGCGATCGCTGAATGCCGCGGCTTAAAACGGGTTGACCTACCGCGTTTGGGTCAGAAACGAAGTTCCTGGTGGACACAGGAGGTTCAACTAACTGTCATTGAGGAAAACAACGAATTCAATAAACGGCGAGGAATCAAACAGCGAAAGCAGTGGCCAAAGCGAAAGAGAGCTCCTGGGAAAAGTTCTGTAAGGTGCTGGAGTCGAATTTCCAGACGGAATACAAGGTAGAAAAAGAAGGGTAGTCTAGGGCTCCTGAAGGACAAGTCCGGACGCTCCATTACAGAGGATGAGGAAATGCATTGGAGATAAAGAGAGCACCTTGAGGAATTTCTTAACCCTGAGCAACAGCAAGAAAACTCGCTGCCGGCAGCGAATATCAGTCTTCAGTGAATGAATTCATCGAAGCTGTAAGAAACTTGAAAAATGACAAGGCTGCTGGAATCGATGAAATTCACCCTGAAATGCTTGGGGCATTAGGCGAACAGCGCATGTGCTGGCTTACACGTGTCTGTTAAACTGCAACAGCTACGAGGACGGCACCAACAGACAGGACAACTGCGGTTGAAGCACCCATGCTCAAGGAAAGAGACTGTAGAGAGGGCTCCAATTATCAGAAAATTGCTTTCTTACGCCTCCAGAGAAAAATCTGCGGTAAGGTGTTAAAAAGGATATGCTCTGGAATGATTGACTCTATGACACAAGAAAGGTGGTATGACTTCATGTCAAGCCGAGATTTCTGTCACCAGATTTTTAAAAAATCGTGGGAGTTTGATCACCCGGTGAACTTGTGCTTCGTTGACTTAGAGAAAGCCTATGACCGGATCCCGCGCAACAGTCTGTGAGCATGCTTGTGAACATACGGGATCGATGGCTAGTTGGTACGGGACATCCAGTCACTACATGCTTATGGCAGGTGCTGTGTCAGGGTAAATTGCGTTAAGTCGAAATGTTTCGTTGCTGTGACTGTTTTCCTCCAGGGCTACGTTCTGTCCGTTCTCTTGTTTGTGTTGTACATTGATAGAATAGTCAGACACAACCAGGGCGTTGAGTGTACCAGCGTAGGAACGATAATTTGCCTGTTTGCAGACGGTCTTCGTTTATTGG